CACACACACACACACACACACACACACACACACACACACCTGGCAAGATGCTGGCTCTCATGGTTTGCCTCAGAGAGGAAAACCTCAGACAAAAGCAAGGCAGGTGCAGAGCTCTGCACACAGCCACTTGTCCTTGTGTCTGTGAAGTGGGCCACATGTCGCATCACCAATAGAACCCTACCATCCTTTGGCTCTCAGCTCACCCATAATTAGCAGGACTGAGGAGAGAAGAGCTGCACTTTGGGCCTCAGATGGCAGGGCAAAGGAATCAGAGCAAAGTTGACAAGAGTCAACTGTAATCACACAGTGAGCGTTTTCAAAGAAACAAATAAAAATAGCCAGAAGTGGGTCAGCACTTACAGTAAGGTTGGAGGCAGGAAACTGGGACAGACTTCAAGTCCTGCACTGAGGGACAGAAGTTGTGTTTTGTGAATACAGGACTTGTGCTATCTTTGGGTTCTCACCCCCTGCTGCTGCTTTCCCCTTCTGTCTTCTGAGTACACAGGGCCTTAATTCCAATACTCTCAATTCCAAAACCTCTTCCCTGAGGCTGAAGACAAAACGTACTTAAAAAGAACTTCCATGCCTGTACCCCAGAGGTGGAGGCAGGAGGATCAGGAGTTCAAGGTCTTCCTCGGCTACATAGCAAGCTCCAGGACAGCTTGGTTACATAAGAACTTGTCTCAAGAAAAAGAAATAAAGAAAGAAGGAAAAAGGGAGGGAGAGAGGAGGAAAGCCGCTCACAGGAGAGACTGGTGGGAAGAAATACAGCAAGAGCTTTCTTGAATTCAGTCTCAGCACATGGCACTTAACGTCAACAAACAGAAAGCAGAAGAGAGTGACCTATCCTGAGTGATCTACCTGGGTCCCAGCAAACTTAATTTGGATCTCTTCAGAGCACTATTTGCACCAAGTACCATGAAGTACACATACTCATACATGCACACATGTACAGGCTACCAGCACCGCCTGCCATTACTTCTCAGATCTATGGAAGCATGCAATAATGCATATATTTGATGCACGCATAGTACACACACACAAAGCACATTCATGTAATGCACCTTCCTACAAGTTCTGAATACATGCTCGTGTATGCAAATGGGGCACCCAATGGACACATCGAGTCACAGAAGTAGGCACAGTATCTTTTCACACACATGGCAATTGTGCATTCATGCAAGGTAAACTCCTGAAGCCCATGTACACATCTCCAATACAGTTGAGACTCTGTATCTATAAGTTCTTCAGTAATGGTATTAACCAACCTCAAATGGGGAGAAGGGGGAAATTTGTGGCTCTACCACAGGCTTTTTTCTCTTGTTGCAATCCCTAAACAATACAGTGCAATAACCATTACTTGGCATTTACACTGTTAGGCACAGTAAGTCTAGAGGTGATTGGTGTGCAAAAGGATATGACTATCATATGTAAATACTCACATCATTTTATATTGGAGACAAGAATCTCCAGATCCCAGAACTGGTCTTCCGTGGGTCCCAGGAACCCTGTACTCCTAAGCATACATAGTGTGCCTATGTGTACACACAGTAGGCCTGCATCCCTCTTGCTCTCTCGGTAACCTTAAGGCTTTGGCAGTTAACTTTTATTCTTGGCAGGATTGCACTTCCTGGTGGCCTTAGTGACTTAGTACTTGGATCAGATTTATCAGGCTTATGTGGGAGGGGCGTGCAATCACCCCAGCTCTGGGCTTCAGGTTCCAGGTCCCCAGGACCAGCACAGAGGAGGGGGCAGAAGGGCATATTTTGATGGGAGTCAGGCGTGCTTGTTCATTTCCTGGAATCTTGAAATACACACTGCTTCCAAATGTTGTCTTTAAAAGAAGTTCGGGAGCTATGCCCAGTGATTAAAGAACACATATGTGCATGAAAACAAGCATGTTCAACATGTGGGGCAAAGCACGTAGACACCATGAATGTAGAGGGTTTGGAGTGTAGAAGTGCACTCTGCTGTCCTGTCCTTCACTGTCTCTCCTTCACGCAGAAGAGAGGAGCAGTCGTCCAGCGGCAGCTTCAAGAGCTGTCTATCGGTCACAGGGCCTCTCTAGTTCAAGAACTCAGAGGCGGCCTCTCTCTGGAGGTTAGCTGGGCTGCAAAATGTTTGGGGTGATCACCAACCAGTCCCACACCTCTACCCAGCAGAGCCTTCCTTACTGTGGTGAGTGAGTTACAGCACAGGAATAGGGTCTGTTCCCACTTATACCAAAACCTGAGCAGTCCCCGAGCATCTATCCTCAGAGCCTCCCATAGGTGAAGGTGGAGATTCCAGAAAGACATGATGGGCCTTTCCCTGTGCTCTCAGCCTCTGACCCCAGCGATGGTGTGTGGAGGTGCTGGAGTGTGTCTTTAAAAGATTACATCATTTAAGCAGATTTGCTTGTTTATATGTCTAGCCTGGAGAGCAAATTAACCAAACACAGACCTATGGTGAGTGGGGGTAAGTATCTACAAGAATTTGTGTTTTATGTCTTTGAGTTTGGGTTTTCAGAGGGTGGGATTGGGGGGGGGGTGAAAAGGAAGCCACTCAGGCCAGATAAACTTAAAGCGGTAAGCAAAATTCCCTTTTAGCTTTTCAAAAAATGACAAAGTCACACCAGAAAGGAAATGAAAAGGGAAATTTTTAGACTTCTCATCTGTCCAGAAAGCCCCGGCTGTGTTTCAGAACCCAGTAGGGGTAACTGTCGGGCCTGCGGTCACACAGCAATCCCAGGAGGCCTTGCGTTAGCAGCCATTATATCAATAAGGAAATACAATCACTAAACCACAGCCCTGCTTTTTTTTTTTTCTCCTCTAAGCCCTCATGTTGCTCTAGGAGGGTTTTAAAACAAGAGACTTTCCTGTTGTCGAAACCTGTGAACCCACAACTCTTCCAGGTTACTTAAATTATCCTACCTCTTACAGCCACCACAGAGTGGATTTCAAAACTTTCTCCTCTTCTTCCCCTGGCTGACAGAGCATTTGCCTCCCTGGAACCCTTATTTACCAAATCCTTGTCTAACTGCTGACACAGGAGGAAAAACACTAGTTGCATATTAAGCTCTGCAGCAAAGCACCCCTGCCAGATGCTGCTCTGATGCGTTTAGTCACTGACCTGAAGGGGGATGGCCCCAGGCAAGAGAATTCTGCAGAAATGGCCCTGTGGTCGGGCAGCGTTGCTCAGCATAACCGGTGATTTTTTTCCACACACATGCACACACTGGCTTGCAAACGTAAGATATCACAGCTCATAGAAGGCTATTGTTTATCATAGGATGTGTGACCAATCTGCTGGAAATTTTTAACTACAACCTAAAGGCAGCCCCAACACTTTATGAGATTGCTTGTCTGAATTGCTGGAAAAAGCAAAGTGGGGAAGCGTAGGTAGAGAGCTTTGCAGGGGCATGGGTGAGCGATGTCAGCTCTCCAGGACAGCTCCTTTGTGCATGCAAGATTTGTTTTTCCCTTGAGCCAATAGGAAGACGCAGATGAAAAACTGCATTGTGGAACTATGAGCCAAACCCACAGAGAAATATCTCTCTTTTCTGCACTGCTCAGCAAAGAATGACTGTGCCAGACCCAACAACTGTACTTGATCACCATCTCCCAGCTTAACTTCCGGCCTGGACCGGGGCCACTTAACTCTGTTCAAGCAAAGCCTGTAGACTTCACCCGCGATCCCTTGCCTTGCCTCAAACATCCGCCCATGTGTGTCAGGCAGACCTGAAGCTAACAGGGGCCTTCTGGAAGGTAGCTCATTCACTTCAGTAGCCAATTGCACTGAGGATAACTGAGGGTGAGCTGTATTCTGCAGCCACAGCCAGTGATCTTTCTGCTCCACGCAGCACGCAACACTTATCTAACCTCACACTTTCCAGCCTTCTTGGGTTAGAATCAACACTTAGCTCATCAGAAAAGCACACATCTTCCAAATGACAATCTGCTCTCACTTTGAACACATGGGTGTTTTGTTTATTTTTTGTTACTTATTTATTTATTTATTTATTTATTTTTCTGCATCCTAATAAATCTGCCAGTGCTGCAATGCCGGGACAGATAGTCTGAGGCCATAGTGTGGGTATGTTTTGTTTTTTCTTTTTAAAGTTTGAGGGCCACATTTGAGGGTCATGTTTGAGGGTCACATTTGAAGGCCAGCTCTTTCAAAACAGCTCTGCTCCTCTTTCTTAAGAAATGTGGGACATGGATGGGGCCATACCAAAAAGAAAAGTCAGAAGTAAATCGATCCCAGGTTATGACCAGCCTATTGTGTCATAGTGTAATGCACCCTTAGAGGAAGCTTTTTATTTTTCTTTCTAATAATAATTCCAGAGAATTCTAGACTTCCCCCACAGGTCCAGTAGACACTTTTTAATTTTAGTTCTCCTCTGTGACAAATGACCCACTGTCTTGTCTGGAAAACATCCCGTTCCTCCACCATGTTTTTTGGGATAACAACATTGGAAGAGCCAGCGTGACAAAACGGGAACAAAGCAAATGTGGAATTGTGTTTAGGTCCTTTTCGATGTGGTTGTTGGAGCTCCAAGGCCTGAGTCACCCTGCCTGACTACAGCCGAGTTTGCTGGACAGATGATCAAACCCCCTCTCGCTTTGGCTGTGTAGACCACAGCTGTTGCCACACCAGGGGGACAAGATTGATTCACCCCTTGGATGCCACCACCAAGGCCACTTAGCCACCAGGCGTGGTCTAGGACTGTGGGGCCACAGGCACTCTGCCTTCCTAGACTGGCCAGCTGCATGCCAACAAGGACACGAGGGGATGGATGCTTCTCTTGAAGCAGAGTGCATGAAGTAGGTCTTCCTGTCACTTCGGGAAGTTCTCTACCGAGGGCTGTGACCAACCCTGTTGACTAAGATCCACAAAACAAAGAGGACAAGGTGTATGGGAGGGAGGGAAGGGGATTCCAAGGTGTTTCCTTAGGTCTGTATCCACAAACATGAGTTACCTCATAGAGTTATAGTGTATTCTCTCATGGTATAAAATGCTCTCTCAATTTATTTTATTTAGAAAAAATATCCTAACAGGAACTCTCTGCTACTTTTAGATGTTTATAAAGGTTACCTGAAAGAATTTTTTTATTTTACTTGTTTTTTGCTTGTTTGTTTGTTTTTTTCCAGTTGGGGAGGCAAATGTGCCATAAGACCCAGGAGAACAGAGGTCACCCTGCAGGAGTGGTTTCTTTTGTTCTACCATGTGTGAGGCTTATCCTTAGGTTTGCAGGCTCAGTGACAAATGTCTTTTTTGTTGGTTTCTATTGTGTTAAAATAAAAAGCATAAAAGTGTTTGAAGATATTCTTGAAAGCATGGCCTCCAGTTCTTCACAAGATGAGTCTTTGCAAACTCATTTTAAGTTTTCACTGTGGAAATTTTCAAGTATGTCAGGAGAACGCAGCTGAGTTCTTCCATCCATGTCACAGATGACCAGCACCAGAATCTCTCCAAGTTTGCTTTCTGTTTTGTTTCTCACATTTTTCTCTGTTTTGAAATTGTTTTAAGAAAACCCCACATGGAAAAAGAACATTTTAAGGAGACGGCAAGATAATTCAGTGGGTGAAGGCACTTGCTACCCAACTTGACAGCTTGAGTTTGAGCCCCAGGAACCACAAGGTGAAAGGACTGAACGGAATGACACAAGTTGTTATCTGACCTCCACACATTAGCTGAAGCATACACACACACACACACACACACACACACACACACACAAACACGTGCACGAGATTTAATCTTTTTAAGATTCTTTCTTATGTGTATAAGTGTTTTATCTGTCTGTCTGTATGTGTACCATGTGTATGGAGAGGCCAGATGAGGGGATTGGATCTCCTAGCACAGGCAGTTGTAAGTCATCATGTGGGTGGAAACTGAACCTGGTCCATCTGAAAAAGCAGTATGCTCCATGGCCCTACAGCAGCCACTGTCTGAGATGACATCCACAGCTCCTGTTGCAATTGAGGGCTGTGTGGTTGCCTGGAGTCTGGTCAGTCACCTGAGGGCCATGCTGCAGCCAGAGTCATGCAGAACTGAGTGGCCTGTGCTGCCACCCAGAGCCATGGTGTCATCCATGCCCGAGCTGCTGCCTACAGCCATGTCTGGGTCTGTGTTGATGCCTGTGGCCCATGTTAGCACATGGGGAGCATAGGATCCGTGTGTGATGAAATTAGAGGACCACACTGAGCGGGCCCCACCCTACAATGGCCCTAGGAAAGCTGGTCCTGCCCCTCAATGGACACTGCAGCAAGAGAGCTGGCCCAGCCCTCACAGGAGAACCACTCCCCCACTCCCTGCCTCCCATCCCCATGCCCCCACTTCCACCCCACCTTTCCCATCATGCTGGACTGTACCTCTCACACTGTGAGCCAAAATAAACCCTACCTTCTTTAAGTTTATTCTATCAGGACCTTCTTTTGCAACCATAAGAAAAGTAACTCACAAAGTCCCATGCCATTTTACTCCTTCACACCTTTCCATACAACCTTAACACAAGTGAGCATTTCCTGGTGCAGCCACACTCCACAAAGGTCCCTTTCAGAAGCAGTTCAAGAAGATACCCATTGTGGAAATCCCAAATACAGCATGGCTTATGAGGACTGAGACAACCCTTCCAGTGGCCATAGTACACAGACCCAAAAAGTACTGCATCTCAAAGACAAAGGGCAGAAGTATGAAGATGTGGTCTAGAAGACTATGTTAGGTCACTTAAACGGAAGCTGGAAAGATTGGGGATTCACTTGGTGGCAGAGTATTTGCCTGGTAGATAAGAAATCTTGTATTTATTTGGTCCCTAACACCACACATACAAGGAGCTAGAGTAATGGAAGGTCTGAATAACAAGTGAAAACTAAGGCAATGTTTCTAAATAAGCATATTTGTACATGTAAGTCTAAACATACGTGTAAAATACACTTGATAAGATAGTTGACTATGTCACATCATTAAAAATGTATACTTTCAGGGTTCACTGAGATGGCTCAGTGGGTCAAGGGCTTGCTGCCAAGCTGGGAGACCTGAGTTCGATTCTTGAGACCCACATAGTAGAAGAGAGCTGACTCCTGAAAGTTGTTCTCTGATCTCCACACAGGAGCTGTGGCACTCAAACACGCACACACACACACACACACACACACACACACACACACACACACACAAATAAAACTTTTTAAAGTTTATATATTCATGCTAGCCCCCCAAAAAGGCAGGGCTTTCATAACTCCCCATTGGGAAATGGGACATTGCTTCATATTTGGGGTTTCACGCAGCAACTTCAACCCACTGCCTACTGGTCTCCGCCAAGACTGATCTTCCTACCTAACAAGAAATTCTTATGAGGGTCCTCGAGAAACCAGGCAGACAGCTGGTCCTGAGAATAGACACACTTAGACACCGGTGAGCCTTGGGAAGGACACACTGCCCCCCTACTGTTTCTCAGGGGAGAAATCTGAGGTTGCAAAAAAGTAAATTATCTTTCCAAGGAGATAAAGACAGAGCACAGTCTGGGTTTATCTTGCCTGGTGCTCCTGCAGCTCCCTCACTCCCCGTTGCCCAGAGGAACTGTTTAGATCTGCCCTCCAACATGTGGCAACATCAGTGTCTATTATGTACTTCAATTAAGGAGCACTGAGAGCCTAGAGAACGCTTTAGTATCTCCACCATCGTGCACAGCCATTGTTCCATTTCATCATGGCCAAATGGTGTCCCTGGCAAGAACAATATAGTGATAAACAATAGGTGACACTGTCAGGGGGGCTCTAATCCTGCCAAGAACAAAACCAGCTGAAGTACTTGCCAAAAAAAAAAAAAAAAAGAGAGAGGCTGAGCTGTGGGGCCAGTGAATGCCCTTGAGTCTAGTCATATACTTGGTGCAGTCTGACAGTACATCTTTCTGATCAAAATTCCTATCTCCATTTGACAGCTGTTCTCACCACCTCCTCTAATATCAGCCCACCATAAAACGAGGAGAGAATCACAACAGATCCATTCCTACCCAGAGAAGGTGATCTGACACATGCAGGCTGGGGCTTCCTCTAAAACCGGAAAAATGAAATAAAATCCTTGTTGCTCTCTCTGTTAAGCAGCAGCATGGGTCTCTGTGTTGCCGGGTAACCCCCTAGCCAGTCCTGTGGCTTTACTGCACTTTCTTTATCATTCAGCTGTGCTGTTTGAAGGCCATTGCACAAAGAGCCAAATGGCATTATGCAATTAAGGTGGAAAACATCACATAAATGCGACTGAGGCCAAGGCCTAAATAGCCACATATGGTTTCACCAAACGTGCTCTGGATCATCAGCCAGCAGTAAAAACACACAGGAGGGAGATGGTCTGGCTGGAAATGAACTGCAAATTGATAAACATGTAGTTGTTAATGCGGTGTTTATTATTTTTTACTGGGATAAAAATTAACTTGTGCAGCCCTGGCCAGGCAGCAGCTTGAACTCTACCATATGGGTGGTGGAAAAAACTTATTTCTGGAGCCCCAGGTTACAAGTTACTATTGCCAGACTGTGTTTGTGAACAGGCCCTGTATGTCCAGAACTGAGAAGGGCTTCAGCTATGCACCAGAGAAGCTGCCAGGGCAGCAAAGACGACTCCCAGGGGGGTGCCACTCTCAGGATACTCTGAGTTCTGATTTTTTACATGAATGTATATATGCCAGTGTATGGGGAGGCCAGAGTCAACCTTGCCTGGACAGCAAGCTCCAGGGATCTGCTTGCCTCCACCTCCCCAGCACTGGGATTACAATCCCATGTCACCGCACCTAC